TAAAATGCATGAAACAGATGTCATGAACACATCAGGATGGAAATCAATGATAATGTCTCATTCTCATCTCATTGCTGAGGCCCTTTATGTCCTTGCAACCCAACATATTTCCCCTATCCCCCCCCCCCCCAACAAGCGTGTGAAGCAGAGCTGAAGGCAGTGTGGTGATGGATTGTAACTTGAGTAGGACAAGTCCTATGGTCTCAAGCAGGCTGACAAGAAGTGGCTTGTGTGATGAAGAGAACTCTGAATCATTGCCATGTGATAGTGGACACTTGAGAATAATTGCAACTATCAGATCTGGGATGAACTTCACCCAATGATGAAAATTTTTGATCAGAGATGGAGGAAGCAGGTTGTATGTCTGTTGAATCATTGTGAACCCTTCTGCTCCTCAAATTATCCTATTTCCATTATTCATTGTGTTGTGCGTTGAATTAACAATGTGTTCATATAATGACATTTGTGTTGCAGAAAGAAGCTTTAAATGTTGTGTACTATTTGAACTATGGCTAACTGATGAGAACATTTAAAAAAAAGAAAGCCCATGTTTCATTTGTTTCTTTTGTTGTATTGTGGGTTGTTTTAACATTTAACTTGTTCGTGGAAGTTCATGAAACTGGTTTTCCATGGAAGTTTGTAGAAGAACAGTTTGTTGTAGAAGAAACACGAATTTTCTGTGTTATTGTGTTCATTGGAATGTGTTTCACTGACATGGACAGTCATGAGCCATACAATTGGCAATAGTTGACTTTCAGGATGATAATTTGTGTATGTGTTATTACATTTGTTAAATGATAGACTTAATTTAGTTTGTAATTATTGATCTTTTTTCTTCTTCATGCTCGAAGTGGGGTGTTGACTAATGCTGTTTGAAAGATAAATTTTACTCCTGGTGAACTTAATTTCATTTTTTTTGTTGTTGTTGCAAGTGAAGCACAGCAGTTAGGTCACTTTGACATGTGCCATGTAATTCGGTTTAAATATATTCCTATAAGTTCATTCTTGATATTGCTGAAATCCTATTATACAGAGGGGAAATAAGAAGTTTACAAGAGAGGTTAAATAAAATTAAAAAAAAAATTAAATTATACAATTATTTAAAGAAGTCATCACGGAATAAGTTATGAAAGATCCCATGCTTACTTCAATTGTTCCGAATGGTAGGTGTGACAAAAATATGAAATGAAATGGTTCAAGTTTTTACAAGATATGTGAAATTTTGTCACCCTATGAAGTATCTAACTATGGGAAAGAATAGTCTGCAAATAAATTTATGATAAAGACAACCCTATTTCAATTTTTCGAAGTTGTGACAACGTTTCGCTCCTGTCAATGTTACATTACACTACCTTACTCCAAGTAAATGTTACAAATAATATGCAAATCTGATTAATTCCCACGTTAGCTGGTTAATGATCACTTCATTCTTTTTCTTTGCTTTTCTTTCTAAGAAAAGGAATGAAGTGAACATTAACCAGCTAATGTGGGAATTAATCAGATTTGCATAATATAATATATATATATATATATATATATATATATTTACACATGAAGTTAATATGGTGGTAAGTGCTAGTAATACACTCATCACCATAAGCCCTTGGCCATATTGACAACAAAACAACATTTTTAAAAATCTCTTCCACAGTGGTAAAATGTTGGGAAAATAATGGCATTAATCTGATTAGATTGCTCATTAGTTGTGCTGAAAGTTGATGTATAGTGTCAAAATACTGAATCCTCCTTTAAATGTAACTAATGATAAACTTGCCTAGAAAGAAGTTATAAGGACAGAGAGCCTTCAGCACATTCCTGACAATGGAGGGTCCAGAGTGTGAATGCGTGAGTCATCAAACCTGGTAGGCGGTTAACATACTTCTTATGCTCTCCCAGATAGAATGCTAGTACTATCTACGTAAATCAGTTTTAGCTAACAATATAGCCACTACTTGGCCATATTACTATTAGCTGCTACTAGCCATTGGCATCACTTACCTTATATAAAAAGTCTATAAGGAAACAAACTGAATGGTTATAAATTAATTTAGGTTGTTAGATAATTGTCTAATGTACATTTTTTAACAAAACAGTATGCAAAATGAACTGAAGACTAGAACCTGTCATGTCAGATGTAGAAAAACAGGCAGATGTTTCACTCCCCAATGCTTGGAACTAGGGGAAATGGCATGGCGAGGCTGGTGGTGGTAAAGAGAGACTAAGAGAAAGGGAAGGAAAATAGAGACAGAAATAGGAATAATTCATGAACATCAAAACTCTTATTATAGAGGCTGATGCTAGACTGAATTCTATATTTAAACATAGAATTCAGTTTTTCCATAATGTAATTTCAATAATCTTCTGATATTGGATATGGACTGATGAAAATATGCAAAGCTAATATCAGAAGTTTCATCCATTCCCTATTAACTTTGTTCCACAGTAATTTTCCTATTAATTTCATATTCTTCCAGTCTCCTTCCTTTCTGCTTTCACCTATTCTTTCTTTTAAAATCCTCTGCTCTTTCCACTTTTGTGTCATTGCTACTCTTTTATTCCCAGACATTGGGGAGTGAAAGATGTGTCATTGTTTTTAGTAATAAAAATATGAATATAATGTGAATTCAGTTACAAGAACTCGTTTGTTGAAGGTTGCCTCTGGCTATTTTTGCTCTTGCATTACTTAATATAACTCCAATATTTAAGAGACTTGTTAAAATTGAATTATTGATGATGGCTCTATTTAAACCATAAAATTAAGTTTTTCTAATGAAAAACATTTTAAAACATACCAGGAATTTTATTACCTTTGAACACAGTGGACTATATATATGAGAGTGCAATGAATAAGTGTTGAAGTCAAATTTCCTTTCTTTTCAGGAGATGCCTCTTAAAGTTAACACTGTTGTGTAAAATCAGGATTTCTTGTATTAAATTAATGATTTTTGGTCAAATGTATTCAAATGTTGGTAACTTCTCATCACTATATAATTATTGTTCCCAGTAATGAGATATTGGAGTTGTCCAAATGCTCACCAGTCCTTCGCCAAAGACTCAACCAATCATGCACTAACGTTGTTGTAGTTGTTCTTATTATTGTTATTTTTATAGTTATTGCCATTAACTTAGGATGTTTAGAAATAAAAAAAGGGGAAATACTTCAATTTGCAGTTTTATTTAAGAAAAACAGAGAAAAAAATATAGTAAGATAAATATCAGAGAAACACTGAAAGATGCCTGTGAAACATGTGTATAATACTATGAGTACTTTTTGATTTGTATTTATTTGAAATTAACTGATATCTTTTACTGTTTGTAATTTTCTTGGTGTCTATCCTACTCCTCTTGATCAGAGTTTCTAAGAAGTTTATTCTTTGCATTTGAATTCAAGTTAAAATTGTGGAAAAGGCATTCATCAATGGCAACAGAGTTATGATATATTATTTTGGCCGATGGATTCGTAATTGATCATTTGATATATTTGTAAAGGATAGAGATATTTTATATTTTGTTTTAAGTTACGTAATGAATGCTTAAAAGAAATTTGCCCTCTGCCATCTGCCACTGCAACTACTGTTCTGGATACCGTAAAGATTTGTGTCTTTATCGCTCTTTTTAATTACATAAAATCCATTTCTTTTGGTTAATAAGCTAAAATTTTAAATTATTAATATATCTTTTTATAACAACCATGTGAAAAGGATTTTTATGCTTGGCATTTCTCACCAACTGAATACAATCATTCAGATGATTGGTTTTCATGTTTTTTTACCCTTTCTATCGCAGAATGATCCATGTTCCACTCCACAAGTGTGAGACCACTTACTATACATGTGTTGTAACTTCATTTTAAGGTTGGTTTGGAATAGTTGTATGGAGAAACATAAGCCACAAAATTATTTTTGTGTTCACAACATGTATCCAAGTTTAACAAAACTTATTGTATTTTATCTAGCAGGTTTATAAAATGGTCCAGACAAGAGGCAATTTTATTTACTCCTATGGTTTTTTCCCACATGTCTAGTGACCTGCTCAGTTACTAGTTCACGCGCTATTAAATTGAATGTCCACAATTGCCACTTATAGGACATACGTTGTTAGATAGAGTGTTAGCTGGCTTTGTCGTTAGTCAATTGCAAAGGCTGTGTTGTGCAAATACAGTGCACTTGTCATACAACTATAGGATAGTAAATGTTATCAAGCAAATATAGTGAATTCATTGTTTAATTCTTGTAGAGCAAATGTTAACCTTCTCATAACCATATTTCTCTGTTCTATTGTGTATATCTCCTTTAGACAACAATGCAATTCCTTCTGCTTGGATAGCTACTGTGATTTTGGGTCTCAAAGAGATTTCATCTATGTCGTGTGCCTTGTTTAGAGTGTTTAAATGCAAATTGTATTCATGAAAACATTGTAGGTTAACTGTTAAACAAACAGTCATAAACAGGAAAGAATCTCAACAAGTTAGTTTCAAGTCAACGTTTTGGCAAAGTGTACTATAAATCGGCAAATTATGCACAATGTAGAAAATGTTGCTCTACTTATCATCAGCTATTTAACTTGTTTTGGCCCCATTTTGACTTCTCCATTTATTCACTGTGCATGTAGATACATGTTAGAAGGTACACGCTAGATTATATAACATTTCCAGCGGTTCATTGGGAACTTCATTCTCTGACAATGTGAGTCACTTCAAAGTATTTAGAAAAATGTTTCTGCTAGAAATGTGGATAGGTCACTAGTCTCCAAGAAATAACAGAAATTACTGAAATTATTTTTTTTTTTCTCCTGAGAAATGAACATTACTGAGATGTGTAGTTTTGTGTATGAGCAATGATGTGCATTGTTTTAGGAATATCTAATATAAGTGACCCAAAAGTAAGGTCTTTGAATTATGACCTTCTTTATTTTGGTCAGTCTTGTTACCTAAATATGTTATTGTGTAGTGAAGAATAATTAGTTATGTTAAACAGAGCATGTCAGAATTTAATTGAATGGTGCATTAAACAATTCACAGATACAAAAAATGTGCGGCATTATTTTCTTATTTTGATCAAAATATAGTTTCTTCAAATAATGTTAAATGTCATATGTGTTTAGTAGGTATAACTGCAAACTCTGTTACCTGATTTAACTGATCCTGATATTTTTTAAGGTAACCTTTAAATTGATAGTTACAATGAAAAGTCAGAATTCAAAACAGTTTTTTCATGATTTCAAAACAATTTTTATTCATCATTTTCAAATATATTGGGCCAATTGCAGATCTGGAAAGCGTGAGACCCCTAAAGCCAACTTTTTGTGATAATTTTACTCGATTTATTTACAACAATTACTACACTGATCACATTTTACCCAAAGAGGGTTTTCCATTATAAATACATGTATTTGTTTTATATCAATTCAACTATTAACAAAGAATTTTAAAACTATAATTTGTTTTGAATGGGGAGGTCGGACCTGTTGCCCCCATTTGAAATACTTTCTGATTCCGTCCCTGATTTGGATGAATGATTAGTAATACTAAGATGTATACTGTAAGGTTAGTACCAGATTTTTTCAGTGAAGTCAGATATACTATTTAACCTGTGAATAAAAAAAGTAAGTCTTTGACTTATACTTACATAATTATTTTAATGTATTATCTTAGATATAACATTATTCATCATTAAAAAAACATTCCAACGTAAGTTAAATAGCATCACCAAATTCACTACAAACCCTGGAAATCGTACCATACAGGAATGATTTAAGAGTTGTTTCAACAAGATTATACATATATATTCAGGAACATTAAATGAAATGAGGGGACATTTCAAGGATGGATTTTATCTCAGGGCAAATCTGTAAATATGAGAACTGCAACTGGAAAATGTAGGTGTCTGATAACCTTAATATTCTATCTATCTGTCTTTGAAACAAAAGATACCTCTTTCAATATTCATAACAGTAAATACAATTAAATTGTCTTTTATTTTTGACTTACATAAAACATGTTCAATGAGGGAAACAGTTCAATGAGGAAAAAGAAATGTAATGTTAGTAAAATTAAATGTTAATCAATGTAACAGTGTCTAACATTCTTCCTATAGATTTATTAATTTTCAGGAGCATACTCTATTGAAAATTGCTTTTTAATACTTGGGAAAAGTGGAGTATTACTAGTAATTTTTTATAATTAGAGGAGTCAAATGAATGTCTTCTATTTGCATTGATACAAACTCCTATTATCAGTATATACATCTGTCTGACCATTTACTTGACTCTATAAATAAATGAATAGATGTATGTATGAATGAATGAATAGAAAACTAATTTTCTTTTACTTGTTGACATGTCTTGTATTTTTTACTTTCTCACCCTTAGTAAGAAGAGAAAATATTGTAATCGTGTGCTTGAAAATAGCGAATTAAATTAAATTAAATTATTAAGAAATTATAAAAATAAGAATTCAGAATATGAAGTTCTGTAAAGATAGATCTTGAGAAAAGGTCACATACAATTTTGCAAGAAATTTTTGATTTTTTAAACAATTTTTTTCTCAAAAATGATGAAAATAAAAAAAATGTCTTTCTCATATCCATCAAAAGGCATTAAACAGGTGATGCTGGTTTCATTTCTGGCAAACTCGGTATTTTAGAAAATTGCAAAAATTTAACATTTCAAAACTACAAAATTGAAGATAAAGATTTTGCCTGAAACAAATACTGTTCTAAACAACCAGCTCTCTAAAAAAGTCCTTAACGATTTTTTGAAAATACTAGTACTTTAGCATAATTTGTGTTTGAATTTTAAGCAATTTATAAAACAAAAACATTTTCTCAAAAAACGCTTTGAGGTTTTTCTTCATATTTTTCCATGGATAGAACAAGGTATGCTTAGAAGAATGGCACAAATGACATTTTCATTGATCTCTCTGAATTTCTGAAAATCTGCAAATTTAGAATTAATGAGAGAAAGTATGTGTTGCAGCACCACTAGTTTTTACTTTCATTTAATAGATATCATTTTATTGTTGTGCAGATTGTCTCAAATATTTTCAGCTCCTTTTTCAAAGTGGAAGTGAAAGTTTTATTTATTTATGCATCAAGGACATTATAAGGGTTCTAATGATTGAGCAGCAACAAAAAGCCCAAGGGCCTTTGGCCTGAAGGCCTTGAAAAGCCCAAAATCATTACAACCAGTTTATGCTTAGAACATTAACCAGAACTGTGGTATGTACATGATTTTATTTTTATGTAATTTTAATGATTCAAATTGACTTATTAATTATACAAATGGATACCATGCTGAGTATACAGATTGAAGTTAAACAGAGGGGCTCGTATTGTAATTCCAAGGTCAAACTATTATCAGATTCTACAAGTCAAACAGTAAAATTCTCCTTTTGTACAAGGAAAAGATTAATTATTGCATTCAAAAAACATGAGACATACAGTAATATGATTGTTTTGCAAAGATTTTCTTTTTCATTAGAGTTGCATATATTGTTTCAAAAGGAAAAAAAAATAATCTTCCAATTATTTTAAGAGCAAGTTTTATCTCAACTCTTCCGATTTTTTCCTACCTATAAAACACTTAAACAATTCTTTAGTAAGAAATTGCAGTACATTTTCTTTTACTTCTTCATCAATAAAAAATATAAAGCATTTTCATAAATGTTTTCTTTTTGCTTAAACATATCAAGCATATTGTTTATTGATTAAGTATAATAAATTATCTTATGTCTTTTTGAAAAGTAACAAAAAATATACTACCAAGGATATAAATTTTTAATTCAATGGTTTGTTTAAAAACATATGTAACAATTATTATATTTATTTTCTTTCAGACTCAAATGTTAAATTGATACATGAGATCATGTATATTTTTATGGTTTCAATCCCCAAGGATCACCAATACGGTTGCTGCAGATTTCTGCATGACCACTTTTTGCACAGTAACAGGTACCGTTTCCATCATTCACTTTACGTTCAGTATAAGGTTCACACTGGAAAACTAAAACATATGAAAAAGGGATAGTGAAAAATTATGTGCCAGTACTAAAAAACAAAAATAATAACAGTGATAATGATGATGACAATTGACAACATTAATGATGATGGTGAAGATGACAGTCATCACCATCATCATCAATGAATGAAAACATTTGCAAATATGAAAAACTGTAGGCAGTAATACATACATTTCTAATCAAATAGCATCAAATATATCACTTCCTGTTAGATCAGCAGTGAAAAACTTTTAAAGTTTAGAGTCATTTTCAGACAGGTTACTGCTCTGAATCATCTGAAGGATTACTAGAAGAAGAATAAGGTAGCTTTTGGAAGGGAAGGTTGACAGCAAAAAATGTTCATGTTACAAGTATTAGAGAATAGGAGGAAATGTCACTTACAGACTCACATTACCTTCATAGACTGAAAAAGTTTTTGATAGTGTTCAATGGGAAATAATTAGAAACAACAATTAGAAAATGAAGACTACCCTAGAGGAAAGTGGAGGAGAGTTTATATGCAGAAACAAACATCGTGATAAATTATTGATCAAACAAATTGTGAATGAAGAAATGACAAATAGCTGAGAAAATGGTTGATTACAAGCCATGCACACACAGTCGTGGTTGACACATAAGGGAGTGCCTATTGCGCCAATTTAAATGAATTCTAGAATATACTACATATTAGTTTTGAATATTTTCTTCGTAGTCTTACAGATTCAATAAGTAATTGATGAAAAAATATTTCTATTTATTGTAACAATTTACAACTAATAACTTTAATTTATTTATGTTTTTAAAATAAATTAATTTGTTCATATTTTAATATTTTAGTACAATTCTCAAAGAAAGGAATTATTTCAGCAAGGATTGAATAATGCAAAAAAAATAAATATGAATGTTATGTAACACTAAACAAATACCCCACTGCTGCTATGTAACGCAGTGTAACACTGCCTCAAACCCCTCCCCCCTTTTTAGTTACGTAATTTATGGACGACCTTTATGCACATGATGCTATAATGATACAAGATACAGAAGATGACTTACAACGCTCTATGGTTGTAAAAGATGAGTACCTACAAAGCAAACAATGGAAAGGGTACGGGCAAATGAAATGAGATATTTGTGCAAAACTATAGTATGTTCAAGAGGGAAAAGGTTTAGATATAAAAACATAAGAAAAGAATTAAAAGTAGAGCCAATAAACAGAAGGATGCAAGAATATACAGGCAAATAGTTACAAGTTGGAAGAATGGAAGATACCAGACTTCCAAAAGCAGCTTTTAACTACGCACTGAAAGGAAGGAGAGATGTGGGAAGACCCGAGGAGATGGAAGGAGTCTCTGTGAAGATGAATCAGGCAGCTGCCTAAACTATGAAGCGTAGAAGATGAAGAACAAAGTCATGGAGTATCAAAATTCTTAATAGTCAAGCATGGCTGTGAGAGTAAAACAAATTTTTTCTGGGTCATACAGACCTGAGCAGTACAGCAGGGTTAAAAGAATGTTGGAAATAATATTTTTTAAACACAATTTTAAGCCATGTTTGTAGGCTTTAAACACATTTTCATTACAATAGGAAATCAGAACAAATTTTTTCATAGAGGCACTTTGGATAGATACCTACTCAAAAACTTAATGTAATGATAAAAGTTTATAAACGATTCTTATAGAACTATGTGAACCATTCTATGAGAACACTAATCAGGTTCTTGATTATTTATATTTAATTCCTTTAAATTTTATTTTTGATTATAAAATTTTTGATTATATTTCACAGTACATTACAGGAGGCAATGTAGTCTGTCACATCATAAATATGAACAAAATATATAGATATTAATCATACAACTTCAACAGATTATCTGCTGTTGCAATTTGTCGATCAAGACTCTTTCTATCAATGTTTTTCCATCTTTCTTTCACCCTCCAAAACTATGCCAAGTCTCCCCTAATTTTCATACTTTTTTGCTTCCCCTATTCTTCATTGCTTTTTCTCTTTTATCTTATTTTATGTTCTCAAAAGCCATACCATAGCAGAAAGTTATTAATTGTTCCACTGAGATGGTACATATTAAACTTAGAATAATATTTCAGAAAATGAAATTCATTAGATCTCTCTAAATAGAATTATTTGGACAAATATTTTACTAGACTGAATGAACTTACCTGGTCCAGATCCTTGGCCTCTTATAATGTCTAACTCTTTGTAGACTTGCCTATTGGCTTCATCAAATTCCCTGTGATTTGTGGGACAAGATATTTCAGTGCAAGTGGCAGAAAGGCCATTATCAGCACAGCGGCACCGATTTCCACAGTCTCGTGGGAACTCCACTCCAGGACGACAGGACAAGATGCCATTTCCTTTGGCAGCTGAAAATCAGGTTGTAGAAATGAAAATTGACAACTGAAATGATATAAATAATTAAAAATTTAATTGATTTTTTTCATGTTTTATTTGAAATTTTACAGTAGAAATAAAACAAAAATGATTACCATTAAAACTACTTTTACAGCATTAGGAAGAGAATGAAAATTAGTAAAATTTATTAGTCAGTTACTAATGAGGTTGACACTTTGATATAAAAGATGTCCTCAATGTAATTTTTAATTAATGTTGATGTATATTCTTGTAGTGTATCATTCTGAAAGAATAAATATGTAGTAAGTATTGTACCTCAGCTTTTGGGTTCAATAGCCCCATCTCAATCAGGTTGTTTCCATGATCCTTTGAGCAAAGTCCCTAGTGTTACTTCTGGTTGTAAATGTAATACCACTATCAGCACACATTTTCTAGAGCACAAAGGGGAATATACAGTCTCAGCTAAAAGTTTAAGAACACCCTAAATTATGCATTGTTTCTTCCTGTTCTTATACCTTTGCTAAATCATACAACGCTAGATGTATCCAAATAGCCATTAAAATGAGTAATCTTTTGATATAAATTTGACATCTCTATCTGTTGTAGAACTGATTTTATGACAATCTCTTTCTTTTCTTTCTCTTCTTTCTTTTCTTTCTTTTTTTATTCTTTTCTTTCTTTCTTTTCTTTTCTTTTGTTCTTCTTTCTTTCTTCTTTCTTTTTTCTTCCTTTTTTTCTTTCTTTTCTTTCTTTCTTTTCTTTCTTTCTTTTTTCTTTCTTTTTTCTTTCTTTTTTCTTTCTTTTTTCTTTCTATTTTTCTTTCTATTTTTCTTTCTTTGCTGTCTTTCTTTTTTCTTTCTTTTTTCTTTCTTTTTTTTCTTTTTTTCTTTCTTTTTTCTTTCTTTTTTCTTTCTTTTTTCTTTCTATTTTTCTTTCTTTTTTGTTTCTTTTTTCTTCCTTTTTTCTTTCTTTTTTCTTTCTTTTTTCTTCCTTTTTTGTTTCTTTTTTCTTCCTTTTTTGTTTCTTTTTTGTTTCTTTTTTGTTTCTTTTTTGTTTCTTTTTTGTTTCTTTTTTGTTTCTTTTTTGTTTCTTTTTTCTTTCTTTTTTCTTTCTTTTTTCTATCTTTTTTCTATCTTTTTTCTTTCTTTTTTCTTTCTTTTTTCTTTCTTTTTTTCTTTCTTTTCTTTCTTTTCTTTCTTTTCTTAGAAACGGAAGAACGGTTCTGTTTGCTGGTGACATGAATGTTCTTGGCAAAAAAGAAACAAATAATATGATTTCAGAAGTTTCAAATTGATTCTGTAATAAAAAAATTAATAGTTAATCAAGGAAAAACAGTTTCAATGCATATTTGCCTTTCAAATCAGTAATTGCATGATCCATTAAAAATGAATAATATGCAATTAGGTAATGTTCAGGTAACAAACTTTCTACGTCTGTCAATTCATTCAAATCTCAAATGGAATGTACATATAACAAAATTAATCACTAAATTAAATTCATTATGTTACGCATTCAGAATTCTATTAAATTCTGTCGGCCTTCATGCAGCTCGTTGCGTGTATTTTGAAAATGTACATTCCCGCCTGAGATATGGTATAAAATTCTGGGGAAACTCATCATGTAGTAGTGATTTAAGATTTTAACCTACATTAAGACCTACATCGGTTAGCGGGGTTTTTCCTGAACCACATATCTCCCACCACTGGGGCTCCGCCCCAGCCGGAACAAGCTCTAAGCTCCCGACCGGTCTCACAGCATATGTGGTGGTGTAGTGCTGTAAGTCTAAGTGTAAGTGTGTGTAAGGGGAGAATAGGACAAAGAAGAGGCGCGCGGTCTGTGGTCCGTTCGTTAGGTACTGCTCCGGCATTCGCCTGGTGTTGATCGGTCAAACCTCAGAAAACTACCGATCAGAGCAGCCAGCCACTAGAATTCTCCCCCAGACAGCGACTGGGGGAGACCTATATGACAAGCTCTTGTTGAAAATCATTCCACTGTCGGGAATGGAAACTAGGACCTCCCAGGCAGAGGCACATCAGTGGTCAATTGATGCCCTAAGCCACTTCTTCCGGTCGAAAAGTCGGCTAACAGAGAATTTCCCTCTGGGTATCTCTTCCAGCAGAACATCGCCTTAACCGAGATGAACCCTAAGCTCACGACTGTTTTCTGACATCAGTAGTAGAGTAGTCCATGTGTAGGGGAACTGTCGTATCTAGGGACAGATGGACCTAGGAACAGAACGTGCTTTCGAGAAGTCTTTGAGAGAAATTTCAGATTGTTATTTTCCCTTTATTGCTATTGCCATTTGTAATGATTCAAGGGAACGATTCTGTGGTGTCAGCTGTTTCCGTGATTTTATGAGAGTTTAATACATTTGACGAGTGAAAAGTAAAAATTTCTGGAAGTTTTTCATCACTTTTGTAATAATTACTATTACTTTCCTAAAATTGAAGTAGACCTACACATCTAGCATATAATGTAGTTAATTCAAAGTATACACTTCTTTCCTACAGGTAACCTACAATTAACAGTAGCCAATTTCATTCATGATTACAGATTGTTTTACCTAGGGACAGTGACTGTAGATGTACCTAGGTACATAAATACAGTATTAAATTAAATTCAATTGGTTTCAGGATGTAACCTGGGTATGCCGTGAAGTAAAAGAAACAACAAATGGTCTCAACCATCAGTAGAAACAATTACTAGTGCAGTTTTGATTGTTGTTAAAGGTGCTAAAGTCAATTCTTGTTCAGCTATAGTTCAGTTATAGAAAAATAATGTGAAAAGTTTATTGAGCAATAATTAAAAAATGCACATATAATGATTCATTCATTCAAAGTTGAGGAAAGTTCTGCAACAAATGAATCTGATATAAAAGACATAAAAGTTAAGCTCCCTGACCCGTAAGTGTTCGGTTGTTCTCAAAGGCAGCGAAAATTTGTTTTCCATGTTTTGTTTTCAAGTTATAATTTAGGTTGGAGTTCTTTCTGCCTAAAAAATCTGGCGTTATATTCTATGAAGTTGACAGAGGACAGAACATAAGCTTCAGAACTAACCTATGTTTGGTTGTAATTAATGTGGAGCAAAAATGATTTTTTTTCCTTCACACACTATTTATTATAATCTAGGTTGAAGATTCTCTCATATAAAAAACATACATTTATTCAGTTGAAGTTTTTTCACTTTTCGTTCAGTGTTCCCAGGTACATTAGTGCGATACGGACACATTGTACACAAACAAATTTTCTCAAAAAGAACCTTACAGAATGTTCGTAAAAATATTATTATTATACAGAAATATGCTCAGATATGTAGCATTCCAAAAAGATGCACATCAACAATTTCATATCCATTACATGAGAGAAAAAGAATTAAAACATTAAAAGTGTCCATAGGTACGACAGTTTCCCCTAAGTGTGTCTAAACGAAGATGATGTGGCTAGAAAGAAGAAGGAAAGAAATCGCGCGCGATCCGTGACCGGTTTGTTAGGGGACTGCGGTATTCGCCTGCTATCTATTAGAAAAATAAGTTCTATTGAAAATGTCGAGTTCGACCCAATTTGGAGGGTTGTTCGGCCGCACGTTTGAATTCATTCAGAATTTTAGAAACAGAGTGGAATACACACAAGATGGAAAGATATGGGTGAGCTATTGGGCATAGTATCAGACTTTGGGCACCAGTTTGCGTAATAATATTAGCGGGAACTTTACATGTAGCATAATACCACATTTATTTTGTTACAAGTCATTGAAAAAGATATACAAAGCATTCGTTTTAAATATTGCATCTGGTTATTTTTGGTTCGTCACCGTTGAAAATTGTCACTTTATGCCAATTTTAAAATGTTTCTCAACACTTCTCGCTCGCCATGCAATATGGCTGCCAGCGTCTGGTCTGGCTTTTCAAATGAAATACCCATACTGTGATCACGTGGTTCGTGACGCAAACTGGTGCTGCGCAGAACGAGCAAAAATCGCCGGAGTAGCCCACCCATCTCTTTCCACCATGAACACATATGTTTTTAAAACTATGGTGGACGTCGAGTATGTACCGCGACTCGCGCACGCCTCCTCTCGCTTTCACAGTGGACTGGTTGCTTGCAATGCAACGAGTGGACTGGAATGACATGAATATAAATGCGGCATTACATAAACATCCATGTGGCCACCCTCAAGAAGAAGTCGCTCCTTTTGCGTCCACGCTCGTGCTAAACACGTACAAACACGGAGGTCATACAAAATCTCCGAGAACATACGACCTTCTCAAAAGAGGACACTACTGTTTGTGCTTGCTGAGTTCGTCCGGGTGTCTGTCATGGCTCAATGGAATCGTTGTTTCTGGAGACTAACTAAAACCATTAAACGGGGCGTTCATAAAATGAATAAAAAAGAATTTTCTCAACATTTTCCGCTTTCTCATTCGGATTTTATAGGGCTCCGGGGAACTTGATGAGTTTGCTTAAGTGATTCTTTGCTGTTTTTAAACTTGTTACTTGCCCTTTTAATTCCAAATGTATAAAGTACTTAGATTACAAAGGCAATGAAACTGTTGCTGGAGCATATGCACTGACTTGACGGGATGAAAGTTCTTAGAGAGGGGGATTTTCAAATTGACAAACTTTTTGCAAAATCATTTACACTATTGAATCATTCTAGATGAACAATTTAGTGACAAGCCGCTAGATTAGTTGTGTTGACAGTTTCTGTTACACTAATTTCACACAAATGACAGCTGTATCGAGAAACAGATTCTATCATTGTTTTCATGACCTAGTCTCGGGTATAAGAAATATTCATTTTAAAAACCTGCGATCTGCATTAAGACCTTTTAAAATATTATAAACACATAGAGCTAACTGGTTAAAATGTAATTAATGGGGGAAAATGACCCCAAAATGATCGGAAAAACAACGAACGTGCGGCTGCTTAGTTTCATTGTGCAGTTCCGTTTCCATGGAGACTACTGTGCATGCATTATTAAAGTTTACATCAGCAATCCTTCTCATACACTCCAATAGAAAATGTAGTGAGATTGTTTTGTTACTTTAGTATATATTTACAATGACAACTCACCATTAAATAACATTTAGATGGCACAGTGACCATTTTGGGTAAATGTCTCCTTATTTACCTGATTTTACATTTGTACTTACGTAGTGAGGAAAACACATTGTAATGCTGCAGGTGAACATGGGGATTTTTCGTTACAAAAACTCATATTGTGTGATCCTGATATAGAAAAGTGGATATACTTTGTTCTTGTATGTAGCAATTTACTTCCATTAACACATTATGTAGTCAGAATCCACGTTTTGTAAGTTTTTGATAACGAAAGATTGTTTTACGGCAAAACATATCTATTCGTCCGTCCGCCTGTCTGTAAACACTAGCGCTTAATCCATTCTGACGGTTTTCTCTCACCACTTCCAAATATATTCCAAATTTGAAACAGATACCTCTACTTTCCAAATTTGAAACAGATATTAAGTTGTTTTGTTTTTTGAAGGGAGGTACATAAATCTTCAACATTTCAAAATTTTCTCAAAAATGGCCCCAAAATTTTCAATCAATTTTTTGGAGAAAAAGACGATTGAAAAAACAGAGCAGGTCTCATTTACGTTGAACTCTCTGAATTTTCGAAAATTGCAAAAATTCAAATTTTTTCCATCTTTTCACTACAACATTGAAGATACAGATTTTTTCTTTATTGAAAAATGTTTTTTGAAGATAGATCTTTAAATACTTTTATCTAAATTTTTTTTAAAAATATGATAAACTTTTGCATAATTTTTCGTGACATGTAGCCAATTTTATAAACAAGGTTCTCTTAAAAAACGGCTCCAACTATTTTCTTTATTTTTTTCTCGTATTGAAAAATGTGGGCTAAACAAAATAATGCAGGTTCCATTTTCGGTGAAGTTTCTGTAGTTTTGAAGAGTGAAAAAATTACCATTGCTAAACTACTATTTTGCTGAAACACTTCTTCAAGTTCAATTATTTTATTGCTTAGTCCTAACACATAATGCGCGAACGTTTATTCCCTTGGAGAATCACTACTTTATATTTTGAAAGCATTATGCGTGGTGATCGATAAATAACAACTGGCCAACAGAACGCCCTCCATAAAGTTCAGAGACATTTTAGAACCAGTAATTTAAGTAAGTGTAAACAGTGCCGGGTTGCAAGACAGACTAATTAGGTAAAATTTGAGATGCTCACGAACCACGTGTTGAACAAATAAATGTTAAGTAGTGATAAACATATTTACAAAGGAATAATTTGTATCTACACTCGTCGAAAGACGTACAAAACCAAGAAACTGGGAATTAATAACGAGTATTTTTCTGCGTTCATCTGTTAATTAAAATATAGGTTGTAAAACTATGAAGCCTAAGAGTGTTTTCGGTGGTACAGTAAATAACAACTCAGTTGCAAGACAAGTAATAGTATTGTAATATTTTGTTGTCTCGAGAGTTCCGCGCAACTTTAGCGTACATTTTCCTTAAAATTTGTTGTAATTGCCTTAAAAGAAAGTCGACAATGCCGGGCCGATACCATCCGATTGTGCGCATTATGGGTCTGCGGGCCATGCTGGCACAGTCTAGATGCGACCATACGTCCTTGTATTTTGATGTTACCTTACCATGCCAATATGGAACCCGTAGGCTTCTCTCCAATAGAATTCTAGTGACCGGCTGCTCTGATCGGTAGTTTTCCGTGGTTTATCCGATCAACATCAAGCGAATGCCAGAGCAGTACTCTAACAAACGGGGGAAACAGACCGCATGCGATAATTCCTTCCCCTTCCTTGTCCCATCCTCATCTCTTCGAACTAGCACTTTCTCTTGCATACACCACTACCACACGTGTCGAAAGCTTAGAGCTTGTCCTAAATGGCGCGGTGGCACGCTGGTGGGAGATACCTGGTTGGAGAAAAACCCTGCTAGCCGGGATGATGGGGGCGGGGGAAGAACACCGCCACCTCCCGCAATAAAAGTATGCACTACACTAATGACCTCAGCCGTCGACGCGCTCGGAAATACCAACCAATCAATCAATAACTCGAAGGCTTTTCTTGTAAGGAACAACAAGAACACACTGTCGCGAGACACGCCTGGTAATTAGAATGGGGAACTACTCCTTTTTGGGAGGATCAGTATTAAGTTGAATCCGATTTTTATCCCTCAGGACTGCTAGTACTGAAGGGATGGAAGATGGTATGATGATAATAATGAAAGATGAATGACACACACAAACAGACATACACAAACAAACCCATGCTCGAGGCGAGACTCGAACCTGCAATCCTTTCGTCCGAGATTGCCGGCACTGCTGCCTTAGCGACTTCGGCTATTCGGATCGGCTAATAAATATCTATTATACTGAATATTATATGCATGTGAAACAATTTACTAAAATAAAAAAGCAGTGTAGTAATAACAAAGTCCTATGGAGAATAGTCAAAATGTGAAAGTTAAGAGAGAGCATGCAACAATTACGGCGATGTTTGAAGATCTCAGACTCCAGAGCAGCTACTCATTTGGTTAAGAGCGACGAGATAAAAATAATACAATTCTTGTTCCGTCCTCACAGAATCACGTCTGCATAGGTGGGCGCGATTTTTGGTGGAGAGTTGTAGACGACCACCCAGACCCTGAGTTTCGCGGCGACACTCACGCCGTTAGCTTGAAGGTGGAGGCAGTGAGTAGGCGATGCTAAGTTTCGTGTTACCGAGCCTTGCCCGATAACCCACCAGTTGGCCTCCTGGCGCGTCGACCTTTGGGCAGGATCGGGCAAAGGACGTTCTTTGGATTGCTCCGGATCTCAAATAAAAGCCTGACGAGGACCAACTACTCCTCTCTCAGCTTACCTGGCGGTACTCACGCCAAGAGCCTAAAGATGTAGGAAGTGAGGAGGCTGGAAGGGGGTCCCAAGCCTCCCTAACCCTAGTTCGGGAGGCCCGCTGATGGGCTCTTGGCTTCGTCATGAAAGTGGCTCTGGGCATAGAGGAGAGACTTGTTGTGGCGCAATGATTCGACACCGGTAATAACCTGGAAGCTCTGAGCTGGAAGGACCGCCCCAACCCAGGCATTGAATGGGGAGGCTGGCGAAAGGGCTAACTGCATTCCGGCGGGATCCGGATACCAAACTGTCTGTGTACTTGTGCGCCGGCGGAGGGTGTGAATAACGCGAAAGCTTAGGTGACCACCCCTGGGATTTGTGTTCTCTGGCAGAACATGAAATTGTGTGGACTAGTATCCCACGCAGGGTCCATACATAATTCCTGACCCGTGGTCTGTGAACAGTTTCACTATATACTTACGTAGAATTTGTTGAGGGCGCCTTGCTGTAGCGTCGTGCCAGAGTACAGACAGGCACAACAGGAGAACCGTGAGCTTGGTAGTAGTCATTCTTACAGGGAAGAATCAGGAAGATGAGAATTTACAGTCCCTAAAACAAAAAGAGCAAACATAATAATAAAGGTATACATAGACTACTTATCGGCCCCTAAGGTAGGCTACTATCTTAATTCTCTAAGAATGTTTAAGAGCGATAAGTATCATATCAACGTATGATCAGTATAATACTAATTTGTAATTCATTACCACAATTAATTTTGTAGACATTATTGTTATTACTTTTTGCTTTTTTAAGAAAAATACAAACTTAAAATTGTTTAAAAAATATTTCAATTTTTACTATTTTTCGATTTTACAAACATATTAAAAAGATTAGGCATTTATGAAAATGCCCAACGCCATTTGAATACACCAAGATACTAGGTGAGCCCATAATAGAATTTTCAATTTAATCATGGAATTACTTTTACAAGAGAGAGATTAGAGAGATAAGGAATCCATGAGAGCCTAAGGAATAAGTTTATTCATCAAGCTATCCTTGATGCTAGGAAACTGTTAAGTCTTTGTCTTTTTTAAATTGTATGTGCGCAAGAAAAGCAACACAGTACAATTTATGTCGTTTATAGCTTGAGCGCTACAGGTCTTTAGAGACATCTGTTAATATAGGAAAGCTAGAAATGTTAATAAATCTGAAGTGTGGGATACTGTGTGCAAGGATTCAGAAGAAAAATAGTGGTGCTACAACAGCTCAGACTATCTCGAAATATTTGTAAGTTTTGCAACTTTCGAAAATTCAAAGAGTCTCAGAGAGAACATGCGCAAATTTTATAATCATACTTTGCTTTATTCAAGAAAAAAGAAAGAAATGGAGTTCTTTTAGAAAACCTTTTAAAATCGCTTATTTCACGCATAATTACGCAAAAAGTACACATCTTTTCGTAACACTCGTTCAATTTATAGATCTATATTTAAAGAACAGATATCATTCAGGAAAATATCGTTTACATTGTAGTTGCAGGAATAAACAAAAAAAAGTTGAACTTTTTCAATTTTCAAAAATTCAGTGTTTTACAAAACCATTTTCTTAAGCGTACTTTGCTCTATATGATATAAAAAATAATATAAAATTTGGAGACATTTGGGGGAAAATGTTGAGAATGCTCCAGCTTCACAGACGCAGGGTTGGAAAAAGACAGGCGGAGAGATAGATGGACAAACAAACGGAGAGGCAGATGGACAGATAGACAAATGGCCAGAGGTGGAGAGATATGCGTTTTGCGGTTTATCAATTTTTCGTAATTAAGGACTCACAAAGCCTGGGATCTGACTACATAATGTGTTAGTAGAAGTAATGTATTACACACAGCAACAAACTTTATTCACTTTTCGATATCAGCACCTCATTACGAGTTTTTTCGACGAAAAATGACCACTTTTAGCTGGAGCATTACAATACTTTTTCTTTACTGCATAAGTATTTAGTATTTAGTAGTAGGCGAGAAAGTAGAAAAGTAAAATTGAAGTCAGATTGGTTTGCTCGTCCTTTCATTAATCTTATATACTTGATTGTACATATATTTTTAAAAAAGGCTACCACCTCCTGTTGACCTTACAAATGATACGTGGACATAAAACTTCTCTTCGACTCGATACGTTTTCAACTGTATCTGATTCCTGTTACGCAAAATTTGAAGCCTGATGATGGGAATAAAGTAAAGTTCCCGAAACGTTGCTGTTATTGTATCAGCTAAATAATTATGTGCCATCCTAAATAATTAAGGTAAAAAACGTTCTCTGTATTATAAAGCAAAATGTTTATTATATATGCACAACGACAAAACAAAATTGATGAAAATTCTATGAATTCAAGACCTACACGGAAAAACGAGTTACCAAACGGGTTGTGGGGATAAGACTTAGAACTCTTAGACTTGAAGGCGGGATGGGATTGATATTAATTTTATATGATATTATACTGCGGGTAATGCGTATTAAGTGGACACTGTGGACGCAAAGAGAAGTGCTACCTAATAGACGATTGTGATAAATAACCGAACTATAGCGCGATTTTCCGCACGTAACCCGATAAAGTGTAAATAGCTATTATATAATATATAATATATAATATATATTAAAATGGTTAAGTGGCTAATTCTAGAACCTGCCGCTCAATGTTTACATTATGCAAAATTGGTGGATAAGTTTGAAGGAGGAATGTTTTGAAGCGTACTTCCAGCCTGTTTTGAAGAGCAATAACAAATATGTGATAAACAGGTATTAGACTGCTATCGAGAATGTTAAGGCTAAAGATGTGTAGTTTTGAGTTTCACTGTGTCACCGGTGAATTTCTGTTTACTTGATACAAGCAAACTCACTATACCTCAATTGACCCTTCGCTATGAAATTCCCAATTCGCCGCGAAGCTATGGCATCAGGTCTTCGCGCATTGTCAAATTCGCTAACAATTCGCAGTATCTGGCAAATGTATTTCGTTCATGAAAGCGTAGGCTTCCGCGACCAGAGTCAGTATTACTTGGTTGTCAGGGAGGGTTGTTCCAGGCACAGTTGCCAACGTTTTGGCTATCATGCTGCAGCCTTTCTCAGGGTGGAATGCGAGGGTATTTTGTTTATTTTCAAAAAGCGACCAGGCCACGCCTTGGCTGGAATTTATTCTTTGTCCTATGGAACACTGTGATAACTACACAAAATAAACGCACAATTGTTTTGGTATTTTACGATCTATTTTTTAATCTATTCGTATTTTCTTTGATAATGAATTAGGAAAAGATGGTAGAGTAGAATAAAGTAAATAATAAATGAAACTATTTTCTGACTGAAATGAAATATAATATACTAGAAGATGAAGTAATACAGTACAAACACTGAAAAAATATCTTGATGTTTCTTTGGTTCATACTTTAAATTCACTACTTTCTACAACATAATACGACGCCTGCTTCTTTACGAATGAAATTTTCTGCAGTTACATTCCTCAGCATATTTTTATTATATTAAGCAATGGTCCTAGAGGCACATTTTATATTATTGTAATCGGGCCTTTGTATGCTAGACACCCAGACCCAATCCTAAAAATTCTTTTCTCTTCTCAAACGTGACACTATGGTAGGAGCAAAATCCATTTTAGAGGGCTGCGTCATGTGTAAGTGGCTGGCAGCTAAGGTGAACCTTATAACTGATTTTGAAAATACTTCGTTGCGGAGATATTTTAGTGTCTGCGTGATCACCTCACGATACCGTACGAAGTGAACAAAATATTTCATCTGCTTCAGCAATGTCTGTTTACACTGATTATTTGAGACAAATAACTAAGTTTGGAAAGAAATGCAAATTTTTTTCTTTCCGTGTACAGATGAAAAATGCTGCTGACCAAAACTACAAAAATGATCTTTTAAAATGCAGGTACACTCCTTAAGAACTACATATAAAATACTCTCATATAATACAGCAATAAATAAAATATTATAGTAGAAACAATCTTCACGAAAACTGCACTACCGTAGGGTAGTGAATATACAGTACAACAGTTCTTTTCATACCAAGAATATAAGAAAAGGTGCTGACCCATAACGCAACACATAAATGGTAAATATTTAATAGCGCACAGCGTCTTCTTCGAGCCTTGCTGTACCATGACGTCCGTTGTGTCGGGGCAGTATGTAGTGAAAAAATCTGTCTGTGAACCTCTGTCGGGTCCAGAATCCTAAGGCCTATTCGGAGCCCCCGTCGGAGTCGCTGCAATGATAACAGCTATCACTCTCAGCTAACCCCCCTCTCTCTCTGTGTCTTTCTTTCTCATTCTCTCTCTTTCGATCTATTTTCCCTCATTCTGTTTCTCTCTCTCTCCCTGCCCCCTCTCTCTTAGGCGACCGGGATGGGGGGTTTGTGGCGCTACGAGAAATATCGATGTCAGTTATCAAGCATATACGGCAAATGTAGTGGTCAAAGCGATGCATACTGCCGTTGCCGAACTTACAATTCGGTGCGACGTCCTTTATCTTTGATTCCTTGTTCCTAACATTATTATTATTCTGAATCTTTAACTCATATGCCTTCCAAGATATGAAGCTTCCATTGTTATTGGAAGACCTAAGCATTTGCTTACTTCTTATATAATGTTACTATGTAAATTGTATATGCACTCCTATATTCGTATTAGTACCAACCAGACGAATTCCTTAGTTTTACACTCTGCCCCACCATACTTCAGGTATTCGAGTTTTGAAGCTTACAATCGTTTGTTCGAAACGATATGAAGAGCAAACCTAGAGAAGACCGAGGTTGTTTGCAAGAAGGGGCTTGTTGACAGTCGGGTTCTTACACCGGCCACGTAGCTTCCATAAGACCTACATGTGTGTCACATGACCTTCACAACCTGACACTTTCAAAAGAAGTTTCAGTGAGAGTTATCGCTGGTGGTACCGTGATCTCAAATATGTTTTTGAACTCTAAAAGTAGTATGTTCCTAGTTCATGGATTGTCTTTTGGAATATTGGATAGAAAATATTTTGTTTCTCTCTTTCAATTGAAACCTTCAACCAAGCTCTTGTTTGTCAGTTTTTTAGTTTCTAGATGCCTTACCAGTTCATCGGCCATATTTAATTAAAAATCCCGTCCCGGGCTAGTTGATATTTTTCAATAGGATTAGTTGACAGTTTCCGCCAGCCCCATCCTCCGACCGTCAACCATTTCCACAAAATGAAACTTTTTTTTGATATGTTTATTCACGCCTAAGGTAAGAGCACCAGAAGTGGTCTCAGTTAAAAATATTTTCGTAGTTTTCTAAAAAAATTCTTGAGCTAGAGTATAAAAAGAACAATGTGGAACTCAATGGGCAGTTTGTGTACCTCATTCTAAATAGATACCTTGTCTAAAAATTGCCAATTGTTAATTTGATCTATTTTCTAATAATTTATTTCACAATTCCAATTTTGTTCCTGGGGTGGACCCATAAAATTTTTTCAGTACTGTTGTAGAACCACTAGTTTCGAACTATTCGTACTGAAATTCCAAGAACAGTGTGAATTTTTTAAATAATACCTTCGGTTGCATATAAATTCTTATCGATGTTAA